GGGATGGGGAGGGACAAGCAGAAGCCAGGGGCAGGTCTAGCCCCTAGCAGCGAGTCAGAGCTCAAAGCAGCCAGTGAGCTGTAGAGCCAGTAGAGCAGGGAGCTGTCTCAGCATGGAGCAAGGTACACTGGTGCCGCCAGTCCGGGCTTAGGAGACGCGACCTCCAGGAGCAATGCAATTTCTGATGCAGCACAAACAGCCACGAAAAATGCAGGAGAAAACGCAAGCTGCCAGTCACGTGTGGGACACCAGGAAGCAGAGTCAACCAACGACTGCTGCAGAAATGCAGGCACGAAGCAGCCGAGACAGGCGAGACGCGGGAGCCCGGGCACGCGCGTCTCCTCACCTGAAGGGCCCTGGGCATTTCTAATCCTCCGGGATCAGGGCCCTAAGCCGTCATTAGCTCTCACACGTATGATGACCATCGCAAAAGCATGGCGAATCCTCACAAAGATTTGACCAAATAGGCAGAAGTAAAACCCAAAAGGTCACAAAGAGCCTCCAGCAAGGAACAAAGCAGAGACATTCGGAAAAATCCTCCTAACCACGAGGCAGACGCAAGCCAAAACCGGTGCCTCAGCAGACAGCAGCAAGTGTCAGCCAGGGTGTGGAGCAACTGAACTTCGCCCCCTGCTGGCTCAGGTGTGAAAGGCCTCAGCTGCTCTGTAGGAGTTCAGCAATTCAAAACATCAACACCACAGAGCCACCATCTGTTCTGGTGGTTCCATGCCCAGGTAGGTATCCTGCAAAATGTCGACACCTGCCCACACAAAACCTACGCGCCCTGGTGACTGCTCCTGCACCTTACTCACAACAGTCCAGGGGCAGCAGTTCCCATGTCCATCCACAAACGGAGAAGCAGCACACGGTGTGTCCCTATAATGGAAAGTCACTCAGCCATAAAACATATTACTGAAAATGCACAGTGCATCTGATAAAGGTCTTGTATAAAAAATTCTTAAAATTCAACAGTAAAAAAGCAGCCACCCAAGTGAATGGGCAGAAAATCTTCATTAGTTTTAAAGATTTACTTCTTTATTTGAATGGGGGGGGGGGGAGAGGGAGGGAGAGGAGGGGAGGGGGAGAGGAAGATAGATCCATCTTCCATCTGCTGACTGACTTCCCAAATGGCAACAATGGCTGGGGCTGGGCCAGGCCAAAGGCAGAAGCCATGAACTCCACCTGGGGTCCCCACGTGGGTGGAGGCAGACAAGCACCTGGGCCATCTCCCGCTGCCTTCCCAGGCGCACTGACCGGGAGCTGGCTGAGAAGCAGGGCAGACAGGAAGTGACCCAGTGCTCCGGTATGGGAAGCTGGAAGCGCGTGTGGCAGCTTCACCTGCTGCGTCACGTGGCAGTTACATGGCCGGTACCGTGGTTCGGCCGGACCTGGCACTGCAACTCCAGCACCCCGGGACTTCCGGCCAGGAGCCACCTCCCAGTCTCCTGTGGGTGTAGGGGGCCAAGCACTCGGGCCACCTTCCGCTGCTTTCCCAGGCACGTCAGCAGGGAGCTGGATCAGAAGTGGAGCAGCCGGGGCTCGAACCTGCATGGGACACCAGCACTGCACGCGGTGGCTTTATTGGCTACGCCACAGCGCCGGCCCCATTACTCAGCTTCCTGCTGATGCACCTGGGAAGGCAGCCAAAAGTGGCCGAATGCTTGAGTCCTGCCACCCACAGAGGAGAGAGGACAGGTCTCCCGCCTCCTGGCCAGCGGCCTTGTGGGGAGTGAACCAGCAGACGGAGGATGCCTCAGTGTCTCCCTCCCCCTCTCCCCCTCTCTGCTGCTCTGCCTTTCTAATTAATTAATTAACTGCAACTAAAGAAATTCACACACTGTCATCAGAGGGAAGGCGCCTCAGTCAGAGTCCGCTCACGTGGCAGCCCCCCGCGGGACACTGATGCCGGCGGCAGCCCAGGCCGTCAGCTACAGGGGAGGACGGCTCAGCAGGCAGGGTCCACAGGGTCCCCTATGCCGAGAGGGGGACACCACGATCAATGTCAAACTACAAGAAAACGAGCCACGCTCAAACTACCTGAGTATCAATCTTAAAAACAAACCCAATAAAACACACATGTAATACCTTTTTCTTTAAAGATGCATTTTATTATTTGAAAGACAGCGACAGAGAGAGAAGGACAGACAGAAAGAAATCCTCCATCTGCTGGCCATAATGGCTGAGGCTGGGCCAGGAGCCTGCAAGTCCATCCAGGCCACCCATGGGGGTGGCAGGGGTCCAGGCACTGGGCCATCATCCGCTGCCTTCGCAGGGGCATCAGCAGAGAGCCACACAGGAGGAACGGCTAGGACTCGAACCAGCGCTCTGACATGGGATGCCGGCATTACAGACGGCAGCTTAACCCTCCAGGCCACAATACCAGCCCCTAATGTATCCATTATAATCTACACTTACTAAGTACAAAAGTCAGATACATTTTTGAAGAAGGCTGAATTCAAGATTTCAAAACACATACACTTAACACATCCTCCTTACCCCTGATGCTTTATTTATTTAAATATTTTATTTATTTGCGAGGTAGAGGGATGGAGGGAGGGAAGAAGAGAGAGAGGGGGAGAGAGGGGGAGAGGGAGAGAGGGGGGAGAGGGAGAGAGGGGGAAGAGGGAGAGAGAGGGCGAGAGAGGGGGAGAGAGGGCGAGAGAGGGGGAGAGAGGGAGGGAGAGAGAGGGAGAGGGAGAGGGTGAGAGAGAGAGAGGGAGAGAGAGAGAGGAGAGGGAGAGGGAGGGAGAGAGAGGGAGGGAGAGGAAAAGAGGGAGAGGGAGGGAGAGGGAGAGGGAGGGAGAGGAAGACAGGGAGAGAAGGAGAGAGGGAGATAGGGAGAGAGGGAGAGAGGGAGAGAGAGGTCTTCATCTGCTGGTTCACTCCCTAAATGGCCACAAAAGCCAGGAGCTTCCTCCTGGTCTCCCACATGGGTGCATGGAACTAAGCACTTGGGCCATCCTCCACTGCTTTCCCAAGCCATAGCAGACAGCTGGATCGGAAGTGGAGCAGCCAGGACTCGAACCAACGCCCATAACCAACGCTGGCACCACAGCAGAGGCTCAGCCTACTACACCAGGCCCCTATTTAATTACATTTCTAAAGGATTTATTTGTTTATTTGAAAGTCAGAATGACAGAGGAAGAGACAGAGAGAAAGGGCGGCATCTTCACTCCCTCAAAGGCCGCAATGGCCGAGGCCAGGCCAGGAGCTTCCAGATCTCCCATGTGGGTGCAGGGTCCAAGCACCTGGCCATCCTCCGCTGCTTTCCCAGGTGCATTAGCAGGGAGCTGGACTGGAAGTGGAGCAGCGGGTCTCAATCCGGCACCCACATGGGATGCCAGTGTTGCAGGCAGCAGCTTTACCCACTACGCCACAATGCCAGCCCCCACTTTAGTAGTAAAATGTTTTAAGTTAATTAAAGACCACAGCAGGACATCTTACTTCCTCAGAAGAGTTTTAGCTGGACCAACACCAGGAAGGAGCTGAGGAAAGCTGGTGACTTTTCTGGAAGTTACCAAGAATGAAGAAACAAGTTTCCAATTAAAAAAAATGCTGGAGATGCTGTGGTCTCCTTGGCAAATATTTACACATTCTGTAAATACTCCGCATTACAACAATTCTAGCGCAAGATGCAAACCAGAATTTAAGTGAGAACACCTACCCGTCTCCTGGGAATGGGGAGGGAAGGCTGTCAGTACGGCCATGGGACAGTCAGAGTACATTCCCAAGGACCAGCACACAACGGCTATTACCACTGTGGGCTACGAAATAGTACCTACTGTCCAAATGCATTTCTTGAAAAACACCTACAACTGTACTATAAACACTTAACATTCTGTTTTAACATCTCCCGATATTGTTTCTACATATGGCTACACATATTTTCCCAAGAGGATAACGGCACATGTGTGAGCCTGTAAGATTACGTGTGAGCATGTGTATGAGACAGCGTGTGTGTGAGAGCCGTGTGCAAGCATGTGGGAGCGTGTGAGAGAGCAGCACCAGCCCGAGAGCGCTGTGTGAGTGTGCTGAGCAAGAGAGACCACCACACGGGAGCACACGAGAATGTGTATGTCAGAACAGCGTGGGCATCGAGCAAGCGTGAACATGTGTGACTACACGCAGGCCAACGTGTGAAAGCAGGTCTGGGTGTATGCTTGATCCCACATGAGATTCCGTGGTGGCTACGTTTACTTATAGCAATCACCACCATGCTAAAGTTCCCAGGTCTACCTCTGACCTCACGGTGCAGGAAAAACTACACACCCTGCTGGAAATGTCCCCTTTTATGCAACACTCCAGTTTTTAAGACAGAGCCTAGGCTGGTGCTGTGGCATAGCAGGTCAAGCCGCCGCCATTGTGGCCATTTGCTGAGTGAACAGCAGATCGAAGATCTAACTCTGCCTTCCAAATAAATGAATCTTAAAAAAAAAAAAAAAAAAAAAAAAAAAAGGCTCTGTCTGCTGCCTCCGCCGCTAACTCGACACCGTCACCAGCTTCCCACCAGACAGTCCCCGTCCCTAGGCTCCACCTCCTCACTGAAGTGCCATGCCCCTCAGCACCACCACCTCAGCCAGTTACGGCGAGGCTGGCACCGGGACCAAACATAACCAGGAGCGAGGGGGTGTGCACACTGCGAAGCCAACACCACAAAGGATGCAGGACGGCTCTGTGACACCACACAGGCCACTCCCCACACGTGGGGGGCTGTCCCCAAGTCCTCCCACTGCCACTGTGGATCACAAGCCCTCAGCTAGCAGATGGCCAAAGTCATAAATCACCCTCTGCTCAAACAGATCCTTCTTCAGGGGCCTGCCCACGTCCAGACGGCACGTTCACTGCAGCAAAGCACACATAGGGCTCATGCGGTGCCGGCCATATGCCGTCCCTGTCCTTGGCATCTGTCAGAGATGAGCGGGTACGCGGCTGTAGGATGGGCAAAGACACCATTACGTCCCTCCACAGGGTACAGCAGACAACACTCCAGCTTCTGTGAACACTGACAGGCCTGAAGCAGTCAGCGGCCTCACCTCCCCCAACTCACCAACGCGGATGGGACAGGCCTGCAGTGCCTCCTCCCCCAATTCACAGTGCAGGTGGACGGCCTGCAGTGTCTCCTCCTACAACTCAGTGCAGGTGGACGGCCTGCAGTGCCTCCTCCCCAACTCACAGTGCAGGTGGACGGCCTGCAGTGTCTCCTACCCCATACTCACAGTGCAGGTGGACGGCCGGCAGTGCCTCCTCCCCCATCACGTGCAGGTGGACGGCCTGCAGTGCCTCCTCCCCAACTCACAGTGCAGGTGGACGGCCTGCAGTGTCTCCTCCCCCAACTCACAGTGCAGGTGGACGGCCTGCAGAGTCTCCTCCTCCTACAACTCACAGTGCAGGTGGACGGGCCTGCAGTGTCTCCTCCCCCAACTCACAGTGCAGGTGGACGGGCCTGCAGTGTCTCCTCCCCCAACTCACAGTGCAAGTGGACGGCCTGCAGTGTCTCCTCCCCCAACTCACAGTGCAGGTGGACGGCCTGCAGAGTCTCCTCCTCCTACAACTCACAGTGCAGGTGGACGGCCTGCAGTGTCTCCTCCTCCTACAACTCACAGTGCAGGTGGACGGGCCTGCAGTGTCTCCTCCTACAACTCACAGTGCAGGTGGACGGCCTGCAGAGTCTCCTCCTCCCCAACTCACAGTGCAGGTGGACGGCCTGCAGTGCCTCCTCCCCAACTCACAGTGCAGGTGGACGGGCCTGCAGAGTCTCCTCCTCCCCAACTCACAGTGCAGGTGGACGGCCTGCAGAGTCTCCTCCTCCTACAACTCACAGTGCAGGTGGACGGGCCTGCAGTGTCTCCTCCCCCAACTCACAGTGCAAGTGGACGGCCTGCAGTGTCTCCTCCCCCAACTCACAGTGCAGGTGGATGGGCCTGCAGTGTCTCCTCCCCCAACTCACAGTGCAAGTGGACGGCCTGCAGTGTCTCCTCCCCCAACTCACAGTGCAGGTGGACGGGCCTGCAGTGTCCTCCTCCCCCAACTCACAGTGCAAGTGGAGGCCTGCAGTGCCTCCTCCCCAACTCACAGTGCAGGTGGACGGCCTGCAGTGCCTCCTCCCCAACTCACAGTGCAGGTGGACGGCCTGCAGTGTCTCCTCCCCCAACTCACAGTGCAGGTGGACGGCCTGCAGTGTCTCCTCCCCCAACTCACAGTGCAAGTGGACGGCCTGCAGTGCCTCCTCCCCAACTCACAGTGCAGGTGGACGGCCTGCAGTGCCTCCTCCCCAACTCACAGTGCAGGTGGACGGCCTGCAGTGTCTCCTCCCCCAACTCACAGTGCAGGTGGACGGGCCTGCAGTGTCTCCTCCCCCAACTCACCAATACGGGTGGGAGGCCCAGATGGGCCCTCACGTGCCGCCCCTAACTCACAGTGCAGGCAGGGGCGGGATGGGTTCGCACATGCCCTCACCGCTGAGCTGGGCCTTTCTGTTTGTGTTTATGCCATCGCTGATGGCGCTGATGGCGTTATCTGGGGTTTCTCACTGACCCTGCAATTTCCTTTCTTATCTCCCACCATTGTTTTATCCTGTCCTGGAGTTCCTGTTTGATATCATCGATATGCTTGCTGCTCCTACACAACTCTTCTACTTTGTAGTCTACCTCTTTCTCAGGCGGGGCTCTGCTTCTGTCCTTTGTGGGCGCCTTCCTTCCTGCCCTCTGCTAGGGACGCAGCGGCTGTGTACCCTGCCCCACGCTCAGCTCTGACAGTTTCTGCCTCAGCTGTCTTCCAGACCAGAGCCTGGGCTTGACCAATGGATGCTGCCTTCAACCCACATTTGAGAACAGAGGTGAAGGCCGCTGAACGCTGGCCGTGGGCCGAGGGATTCTCTCCTGCAGGCCCCCACAGATTCACCCCGGAGCGGTGTCCGTGGGCCGCACACTTTCTTCCAAGGTCCTCTGCTGTTCAGGCTTCTAGCCTAACCTGCCCTGGCTTCTGTTCCAGCTCCTGGCCCTGCTGCTCTCTGCAGGGTACCAGTGAGAATGTTCAGGATTGTGCTGACTCAGCCTGTGGTTAGCGGACGCACCACCAGGCCCTAGAATGTTCTCTTTGCCCTTGGCCACAGTGCTCTTCTCTTAAATGTCTCCGTTTTCCTTGTTTCCAAATCTAGAATCAGTTTGGGAATCAAAACACGAGTCAGCTGGCCGGGGATCACGACCTTGGCTTTCTTTCTAGGAGTTTGGTTTTAGGTTTGTGAGTGAGCCGACCTGTCCGTGGGCGCCTGTGCACCAGCACCGGTGAGGTGGGCCGACCCTTAGGAGAAATGAGAACACATGCTCGTGCCCTCGGGCAGGGCAGCTTCCGGAGCAGACCCCGGGTGCCGAGCTCGGCCTGTCGGGTTCTCTCTCCGGAACTCACCTGCCCCACAACTCGCTCCTGCCTCCCTAAGCAGAGGGTGAGAGAGGACGTGAAGACCCTTCCACCAGAGGAAAGCCCCACCCCGTCCTGAGAGGAGACCTCAGGATCCAGTGGGTAACAGCGACAGTGCTCAGAACAAGAGCTCCTGGCACAACGGGCTGTGTCCCGGCTGGCCCCACAGGTGCACGCATGCGCACACATGTCACTTGGCATCCCAGGAGGATTGCTTTAATGAGACGTCTGCTCTAACTAGTATGTTGTCAGTCCTGGTATGTTTGTCTAAAAACAATCTCATTACTTTATAGTCTCACCAAATATGCACCGATAAGAAGGCAAATGACCAGGTCTCTGCCTCTCAGTTCCGACCAGCTCACCTCCCAGGAGTTCCGCCTCCAGCTCCACAGCAGCCCACACTTTTTTTTTTTTTTTTTAAGATTTATGTATTTATTCGAAAGGCAGAGTTATAGAGAGGCAAAGGCAGAGAGAGAGAGAGGAGAGAGAGAGAGAGAGAGAGAGACTAATCCGCTGGTTCACTCCCCAGATGGCCACAACGGCTGGAGCTGTGCCGATCCGAAGCCAGGAGCTTCATCCGGGTCTCCCACGCGGGTGCAGAGGTCCAAGGATGTGGGCCATCTTCCACTGCTTTCCCAGGCCACAGCAGAGAGCTGGACTGGAAGAGGAGCAGCCGGGACTTGAACCGGCGCCCATATGGGATGCCGGCACCGCAGGTGGTGGCTTTACCCGCTGTGCCACAGCACCGGCCCCAGCCCACACTCTTCGCCTTGCTAGCCAAGTTACCAGAACACCAGGGAAACACGTCCTTCCTTACCCTAACACTGAAACCATGGGGCTCCACTTCCTCCAGCAAACACCGAAGCGGCCACGGGCATCTCACGTGCGCCAGGACGTGAAGCTGAGTGGGAGATGCAGGCTCAAAGCCTGCCGAGCCGCGTGCAGCTGTTCTTCAGAAGCACAGCGAGCCTTGGTAAACACTCACTCCCTTCCCTCCCTGGCTAAGGTCAAGTCTCGTGCTTGGAACACTGGATCTCAGCCACAGCGGAACAGAATTTCACCCTGAGAACTAATGCAATCCGGGTCACCCAGTGTCTGCCCAGCCCAGGGCTGAGCACGGTGCTGTTCATTAGACTCCAGGACGCTGTGGTCCAGCCTGGGTGCTGCTCATCACCCATCCAATGGCCTCAGGGGCCTCCTTGTACTAGGCGAGGGCTCCCAGCGCCCCTTAGGCCTTACCCAGGCGTGGTCCATCTCCTGCCCTGCCTGCCCCACGTGTCCTGTCCTCAGGGAGGACACCCAGAGGGCAAGCTCCACGGGACCCACACCGTGTGCTCAACACACACTCTGCACACGGCCCAGCACAGAGTACCTGGCTCTGAACACCCAGCATCCAGCCTGCTCTCACGCAGGCCCCAGCAGGAACCATCAGCTGACCCCCCCCCCCCCCAACAGACGCTAGGCTCAGGGAGCCCCCAGCACACACCGTCACGGGAACACCCGTCCAAAGTGATGACAGTGTCAACCACATTTCTGCCTCTGCGCGGTCCCCTGGGGCGCGGCTGCTGCTCAGTTTAAGCAGGTGTTTCCAATGCCCAGGAAGTCTCCACGGACGTTAGGGCCCTGTGACAAAGCAGGTGCCGTCATTTTCACACTAGATGGCTAAACAGATCTCAAACCTGCTATCTACTGGGCCTCTGCTTCTTGAAGAAAGCAGGGACTGGGGCCGGGGCTGTGGCCAGCAGGCTGAGCTCCCCTGCAGCGCAGACATCCCACGTGGGCAGCAATTCGGAGTCCTGGCTGCTCCACTCCCATGCAGCTCCCTGATACTGCAGGCAGAAAGCAGCACAGGGAGGCCCTGGTGTCTGAGCTCCTGCACCCACACGGGAGACCCAGACAAAGCTCCTGGCTCCTAGCTCCAGCCTGGCCCAGCCCTAATTGTTGCGGCCATTTGGGAAGTGAAAAAAAAAATTTTTTTTAAATTTATTTGAAAGGCAGAGTTAGAGAGAGAGGGAGAGGCAGAAAGAGTGTGAGGGAGCTCTTCCATTCACTAGTTCACTCCCCAAATGGCTACAAAGGCCAGGGCTGGGCCAAGCTGAAGCCAGGAGCCAGGGGCTTTGTGGGGGTCTCCCACGTGGGCAGAGGCCCCAAACACTCGGTCCATCTCCTACTGCTTTCCCAAGTGCGCTAGCAGGGAGCTGACTTGGAAGTGCAGCAGCCACCCCATGGGGTACCTGTGCTGCAGGCGGTGGCTCGACCCAGCACCATAAATAAATCTAAAGGCAAGCAAGCAGGGGTCCGGTATGCATTCTTCCCGCACCTGCTTTCCGCTACTTTCTACCCGTGTCCAAGAGTAACACCGGCGCCTTGCTGTCCGACAGACGCTGCTCCTCCACGGGGAGCCATAGTAGAAGTGTCTGCTTCCCCAACAGTGAGGTAGCATGTGAATGGTTCCCCATTCCATAAACCAATGGGCACTGATGCTAACACAGATGGGCACATTTCTCAACTTCACAAGGACAGCACAGAAACACTGATCCAGCCCATGCTTGGCAACTATTATTCACACTCTGCTTGTCCTGAAAGGGCGGTGGACTTGAGCAGCTGTCTGGCCAGCCCACTGACAGAAGGGACAGAGAAGATTCTTTGTCTCTCTTGTCTGAACACACACAAACTGGGACAGCTCCAGCTCCACTGCCCTCCAGGTGGGAGGTGCCAGGTCCACTACACAGTAGCAGCTTCTCTGGTCTGAAGACTGCACCGTAATTACACCTGCAGATAAACCCGAAGTTTAAACCTTCAGTGCCATTTAAAACCGATACGATCTGTGCACCCACTCCCAGCTAGGTAATGACGGAAAGTAATTGCCAGCTAGCGACAGAACTCTGTGGCATGAGCACACCCTATTCCGCATCTCGCATGACCGATGACTGAGGGTCAGCCTGCCCCCCAGACGATGTGCTCGAAACACTGCACAGGCGACGCGGAAGCTGCCGGGCAAGGTGGCTCGCCTCTATGAGCTAAACCCCCAGCAGCGGCTGGGGCCTCTCTCCCTTCAATGGATGGAAAGGTGTTTCGTGCCAACCATGTGTGCAGTGTTCACTTCAATGCAGGCTGCCAGCGGGGCGATGCGTGCCCAGCTGTGCCCCGGGCTCAGGAGCAGCTTCCGCTCCCAGCCCAGGGACCCAGGACCAAGAGGCTACAGTGCTTGACAGCAGACAACACCGGGGGAGACTTCTGGGAAGTCAGGCACACCTCAGCCGGAAAGGCGTTTAACCAAACAAAACACACAAGGAGAGGCAGATGTCTAGAAATGTAACACAATCTGCCTACCACACCAGCTCTTAGCTCACCGTCCACTGGCCACCTGTAGGCCCCTCTTGGGATCTGGGGTGTCTGTGAGCGCACAGGTCAATCTGCAGGGGACGGGCCCGGCGCTAGGCTGCAGTGCCGAGCCCTCGGTCTTCAGCAAGCCACTGCCTCATGACCGCTCCTGTGGACTGCAAAACTCCATGGAGCTCCTACACTGGGTCTGCTCATACCAACTGTACCTGCTGCGGCACATGGAGGCCCAGCCGCTTCACCTTTTTTTATAAAGACTTATTATTTATTTATAAATCAGAGTTACACAGAGAGAGAAGGAGAGGCAGAGAGTGAGCAAGTGCGAGAGGGAGGGAGGGAGAGAGGTCTTCCATCAGCTGGTTCATTTCCCAGTTGACCGCAATAGCTGGAGGAGCTACGTGCTGATCCAAAGCCAGGAGCCAGGAGCTTCCTCTGGGTCTCCCACATGGGTGCAGAGGCCCCAGCACTTGGGCCATCTTCTACTGCTTTCCCAGGTCACAGCAGAGAGCTGGATCGAAGTGGAGCAGCTGGGACTCGAACTGGTGTCCATATGCAAGCGGCAGCTACCTGCTACACCATAGTGCCGGGCCCTGCTTCACTTCTGATCCAGCTCCCAGCTAAGGGGCCTTGGGCCCCTGCACCCTCGTGGGAGACTCAGAAGCTCCTAGCTACAGGCGTCAGATCAGCACAGCTCCAGCTGGTACAGCCATCTGGGGAGTGAACCAGCAGATGGGAGAGACTCTCTGTCTCTACCCCTCTCTGTAACTATTTTCTTTCAAATAAATAAAATAAATCTTAAAAAAGACGTGCTGTCTCAGCTGGTAGGGAAGCGTGCAGCCTGCGAGGGTCCTGGTTCGCTTCCACCTGCTGCATCCCAGTCTTGAAAGGCCAGCTGACATCATACTTCCGTGCCCAGGCTCTTGATAGCGCAGCCAAAGCCAGTCCTCCCGTCCTCCCACTGGCCTCCTCGCTGCCTCAGCAACGGCATGAGCATGCGCACTCACACTGGACATTAAATTCCCCGTGCACTGTCTCTCGCTGGACAGGCTGCCAGGAGGGCTGGGTCTGGGCTGCCCTCGTTACTCACCCCTCCCCCGATGACACCCAGCACCACCACGCTCTGGATATTCTGTTGAATTTAATTCTTTTGTTTCAATCACAGACAACCCATCCAATATTCTATTCCTTCAAAAAGTTTGTAGAGCAGCAGCTTGTAAACACAGAAGACCTGTCTTCTATCTTGGAGTGCTCAGTGAGCCACCAGTGCAATTATGTGGGTGGTAGCGTGACGTCCAGTCCACGCCACAAAGAGCCTTCAGCCAGACGGCACTGCGTTCACTTCTGGCTGAATCCGAATTCTCTCCCTGAAATGCTCTAAGCCAGCACACGTGCCACACACAGATCGGGCAGCGGAGCCAGTGTGAGACAAAGCCAGGCGGAAGCACTCACTGTGGCACTATTACTCGTTCTCCAAACACTGAACACGTGAGCTTTAAGGACAGCCCACTTAGGAAGCGAGGGAGCATTATCCTTAACAGTGTAAACACACTCTCGCTGGAGCATGAACAGCAAGCCCACAACCAGCAGCCTCCAGTCAGCTCAGCCCCGACTGATCAAGAGGAGCCAGCACGGGACCCGACGGGCAGGGTACACACTCCCACAGCCCCTGCTCCAGCCGTGGTCCCTGCCCCCACATGGGAGGCCTGGACTGCGCGGCCAGCCCCGCGGTGTGGGCACTGGGGAGTGACCCGGGGGTGGGAGTGCATTCCTGCTCTTTCCTTATGCTCCAGGCCCTCTCTCTCTGCCTCTCAAAGTAAACAAAGCAGGAAAGACCAGGGCGATGGCGACTTGGGTTCCCCGTGCCTCCAGGGCCGCCCCATGTGGGTGGAGGGGGGGGCAGGACCTGGGGGCCGACGTGGCAGTGAGCTCCGCTGTCCTGCATCCTGCCTGTGAGGACGGCCGCAGCAGCTGGACGGCACAGAGGAAAAGCTGTCCAGGCAGAGCCTGTGCCCTGGCGGCAGGCCTGGGGAAGGTGGTGTTACTGTAAGCCCCTCTGGGCCAACCAAACACCCACAGAATCACCACCCCCACCCTGGGCGGTGTCAGCCCAGTCGAGGGGCCCAGGTGGCCCACAGCCAGGGCACAGCCGAGAAGGGACCTCACCTCCCATCCTCTGCCTGGAAGGAGAGGTGCTTCCACTCCCCACCCAGGCAGCGTCAACAGGGTCCAGGGGGAAACTGAGGCACTCAGGACCAGCAACCCAGAAGGAGACGACAGGATACAGTGCTGTCCGGGCCCATCAGCCTACAGGCGGCAGGCTCGGAGGGGAGCAGATGCTATACTCGTCTCAACAAAGCAGCAGTCTCAGGGACCCACAGATCAACCACGAAGAACCCACAGCTCCGACAGAAAGAGGCAAGAAAGAGGGGGCTGAGGAAGCATCTGAAAACGTCCAAGATTAGACAAAAATCACTCAATGCACAGACTCAGTAAGCGGAGCAAACCCCAAGTAAGACACTCACAGTTAAACTTCTGGAAACTGGAGCCACGGGAAAAATCTCAAAAGCAGACAGAAACAATGTGTGAACTTAGGCAGGGACGCCACTCAAACGACAGCGGCCTGCTCACTGAGTCCAAGGGTCAGAACAATGTGGCCGTGTCTCCAGGATCAGAGTTGGCTGTGAACTCTGCAGCGAGATGAAAGCGAGCTAAGAGCTGTTCCAAGTAAACAAGCTGCCGGCAAACGGAGGCTCTGCACAGAAAGGACGGGAGAGAAAAAGGCTCAGAACTGCAGGACAGACAGACCAGCAGCACAGGTAGAGGGCTGGGCACACATCCTTCTTACCAGTTTCTTTAAGAATTTGTTTATCTGAAAGTCAGAGATGTTAGGGAGAGAGACAGAGAGAGAGAGAGAGAGAGAGAGAGAGAGAGAGAGAGTCTTCCATCTGCTGGATCACTCCCCAGCCGGCTGAAACAGGAGCTTCACCTGGGCTCCCGCACGGGTGGCAGGGCTCCCAAACACTGGGGCCATCTGCTGCTTTTCCCAGGCCAGAAGCAGGAGCAGGGAGCTGGACAGGAAGCTTAGCAGCCGGGGTGCAAACCGACACCCACACGGGATGCCAGTGCCGCAGGTGCGGCTTTATCCGCTGCACTACAACACCAGCCCCTTAGGAGTCTGTCTTTTAAAAATATTTATTTATTTATTTGAAAGGCAGAGCTACAGAGGGAGAGAGAGATGGTCCATGTGCTGGGTCACTCCCCAGATGGCCACACCGCTGGGGCCGGAGCTTCTTGCAAGTCTCTCATGACTTCAGCAGGCTGCGCGCTTGGGCCGCCTGCGGCTGCTCTCCCAGGCTCATTAGCAGGGAGCTGGACAGGAAGCGGGGCAGCCGGGACTCGACCGGTGCCCGTGTGGGACTCCAGCATGGAGGGCAGAGGCTACACCCACTACACCATGGCGCCAGCCCCTTTAGTCACTCGTAATGACTGACACAAAACCAATGTGGCGCCCCAAGTCTAACACGAAACAACAAGACATCTGTATTTGAGAAGTTGGGAAGGCAAAGAAACCTGAACAGAAATAAAGTTTCATAAAACACCAATGACAACAGACTTGGATAGGTCATACACGTTTGCAACAAACCTACAACTAACAAGAAAATGACAGAGTATATTATAACCAGACAAAGTAAAGACCAGGCACGATGCAACCCCACAATGTTTAACTCACAGGAAAGCACTAAGAAACAAAAACAAAACAGAGAAGAGTAAATTATTCCTGAGTATATTAACAAAGACCTTCCCTTAAATATAATGATCTAAATCTACAAGTTAATTGAGATTGACAGAGGGGAGGAAAAATTAAGCTTGTCTATATGAAACTCACTTTAAAACATAGGTAGGTTAAAAGTAAAAGGATGGACAAGCATGTACCATGGAAGTTGTAACAAAAACAAGGGTGGCTACATTGAAATATCTGCCACAGTAGACTTCAAGGATAGAAAACGACAGGAGACAAGGGTCAATCTCCCAGGAAGACATCAGTATCCCAAAAGTTGATGCACCCACCACACGCTGGAACCCCAGAATACACAAAGTGAAACCTGACAGCGCAAGGAGAGACGCACAAATCCACAGAGACAGCCGCCCTTGCAGACCTCACTCTCAGCACCTGTTGGGTCCACTAAACTCAAAGTCAGCAAGGACACCGAAGCCAGCTAAGGCACATCGGCAAGCATTCCCCGTCACGAGACCACACACCGAGCCATTCGACAACCCTCAAAAAACATCAGAGGGGCCACTGCCGCCTTGAGTCCTGGCTGCCCCACTTCCCACCCAGCTCCCGGCTGATGCACCGGGGAGCCAGCGGATGGTCCAGGTACTTGGGCCCCTGCCACCCACATGGGAGACCTGGATGGAGCGTGGGCCCAGCCCACTGCAGTCATCTGTGGAATGAACCAGTCAATGAAAGGCTGGTCTCTCTCTCTCTCTCTCTCTCTCTCTCTCTCTCTCTCTAGTTCTACCTTTCAAATAAATATTTTTTAAGCTTCTTTTTCAAGATTAACGAAATAATTTTTCTAAATTTAGAAGTGTAAAAAGCTGAGGTCATACACAGGCGAGGTCCTCGAAAATTTCAAGGAACACACGGATCATTTAGTAGACTCTGCGTGGACGGCAGACGACGTGGGCCCACCCCGATGGACACCTCCACACGCTCTGACCCTGATGCTGCGTGGACGGCAGACGACGTGGGCCCACCCCAATGGACACCTCCACACGCTCTGACCCTGATGCTGCGTGGACGGCAGACGACGTGGGCCCACCCCGACGATAACCTCCATACTCTCTGACCCTGATGCTGCGTGGACGGCAGACGACGTGGGCCCACCCCGACAGACACCTCCACACGCTCTGACCCTGATGCTGCGTGGACGGCAGACGACGTGGGCCCACCCCGATGGACACCTCCACACGCTCTGACCCTGATGCCGCGTGGACGGCAGACGACGTGGGCCCACCCCGACAGACACCTCCACACTCTCTGACCCTGATGCTGCGTGGACGGCAGACGACGTGGGCCCACCCCGACAGACACCTCCACACGCTCTGACCCTGATGCCGTGTGGACGGCAGACGACGTGGGCCCCACCCCGATGGACACCTCCACACGCTCTGACCCTGATGCCGTGTGGACGGCAGACGACGTGGGCCCCACCCCTGACGATAACCTCCACATGCTCTGACCCTGATGCTGTGTGGACGGCAGACGACGTGGGCCCCACCCCTGACGATAACCTCCACACGCCCTCTGACCCTGATGCTGTGTGGACGGCAGACGACGTGGGTCCCACCCCGATGGACACCTCCACACGCCCTCTCACCCTGATGCCGTGTGGACGGCTGATGATGTGGGCCCACTCCCGAAAGACACCTCCACACTGTCTGAGCCTGATGCCGCGTGGACGGCTGATGATGTGGGCCCACCCCCGATGGACACCTCCACACGCCCTCTGACCCTGATGCCGCGTGGACACCTCCACCACACGCCCTCTGACCCTGATGCCGCGTGGACGGCAGACGACGTGGGCCCACCCTGATGGACACCTCCACACGCTCTGACCCTGATGCCGCGTGGACAGCAGATGATGTGGACCCACCCCCGATGGACACCTCCACACGCCCTCTGACCCTGATGCTACGTGGACACCTCCACCACACGCTCTGACCCTGATACCACGTGGACGGCAGACGACGAGGGCCCACCCCGACGATAACCTCCACACGCTCTGACCCTGATGCCGCGTGGACGGCAGACGACGTGGGCCCACCCCCGACAATAACCTCCACACGCTCTGACCCTGATGCCGCGTGGACACCTCCACCACACGCTCTGACCCTGATGCCTCGTGGACGGCAGACAACGTGGGCCCACCCCCAATGATAACCTCCACACGCCCTCTGACCCTGATGCCGCGTGGACGGCAGACGACGAGGGCCCACCCCTGACGATAACTTCCACCCTCTGACCCTGATGCCGCGTGGACACCTCCACCACACGCTCTGACCCTGATGCTGTGTGGACGGCAGACAACGTGGGCCCACCCCGACAGACACCTCCACACTCTCTGACCCTGATGCCGCGTGGACGGCAGACGACGAGGGCCCACCCTCAATGATAACCTCCACACGCCCTCTGACCCTGATGCTGCGTGGACACCTCCACCACACACTCTGACTCTGATGCTGTGTGGACGGCAGACAACGTGGGCCCACCCTTGATGGATACCTCCACACTGTCTGAGCCTGATACCACATGGACAGCAGATGACGTGGGCCCACCCCAACAGACACCTCCACACCCTCTGACCCTGATGCTGTGTGGACAGCAGATGACGTGGGCCCCACCCCGATGGACACCTCCACACACTCTGACCCTGATGCTGTGTGGACGGCAGAAGACGTGGGCCCCACCCCGACGATAACCTCCACACCCTCTGACTCTGATGCTGTGTGGACAGCAGATGACGTGGGCCCACTCCCGAAGGACACCTCCACACTGTCTGAGCCTGATGCCGTGTGGACGGCTGATGACGTGGGCCCACCCCCGATGGACACCTCCACATGCCCTCTGACCCTGATGCTGTGTGGATGGCAGACGACATGGGCCCACTCCTGACGGACACCTCCACACGCTCTGACCCTGATACCACGTGGACGGCAGACGACGTGGGCCCACCCCCGACGGACACCTCCACACACTCTGACCCTGATGCTGCGTAGACAGATGACGTGGGCCCACCCACAACGGACACCTCCACACACTCTGACCCTGATACCACGTGGACAGATGACGTCGGCCCACCCTGATGGACACCTCCACACGCTCTGACCCTGGAGTCACACTAGAAATCAGCAACAGAGAGGCGGCAGGACAATCTCTGAACACAGGAAGCCACAGCTCTCCTCTGGAGCCCGCGGCTCCAAGAGCCATCTCAGAACAAAGCAACACAGACATGAACTGATGGAAATCAAACTAAACACGGAAATACGTGGACACAGCTAAAACCATGCCGAGACGGAAATTCACAGCACTTGAAATGTTTGTGCTAGCAAAGGGGAAAGGCCTCCATAAATAATGCACGTCTCTCCACCAAGAAGTGCATGAAATGAGTCCACAGCAAACAAACAAAAAAAAAACAATAGAGAGCACAAATAAATGAAACCTAAAACAGGAAAACCCTCAATAAAATGAATGGGATACAAAGTTTGTTCTTGGGGCCGGCACTGGGGTGTAGTGGGCTAAGCCGTGGCTTGCAGTGCCTGTATCCCATATGGGCGCCGGTTCAAGTCCCAGCTGCTCTACTTCTGATCCAGCTCCCTGCTAAGGCCTGGGAAAGCAGAGGATGGCTCACGTCCTCGGGCCCCTGCACCCTGGAAGAAGCCCCGGGCTTCAGTCATTACGGCCATTTGGGGCGTGAACCAGTGGATGGAACATTCTCTCTGTAACTCTGCCTTTCAAATAATTAAATCTTAAAAAAAAAAAAAAAGTCAGTTCTTTCTGGTTACAAAGAAATAATCAAGAACACTGATAAACCAGGAAGACTGACAAAAAGACGACACAGAGCGCCAGTGCGAGGAGTCACTAGACGGCATGACTTCTCCCCGCTCTCACCCGATGCAGCGCTGGAATTTCAGCCCAGGCAACGAGGCGAGAGGAATGACACCGTCCCCACATGCACGTAACTCGACGGCCGATGCAGAGAAGCCCGAGAACCCCCAGGGCTGCTGGGAGAAGCCGAGCCTCGGTACCCGGACACAAGCAGCAGTCGCGGCGTCAGGCGCTAAGAGCCACGTGAACACTCAAACTACAGCCGCCTCACACAGCATGAACTACCTGGGTATAAACTGACCCGGGCATGCACAAGGTCTGTGCCTGAGAGCGCGCCGTGCCGGTGAAAGAAAACGACCCCGATGAACGTTGGCCTGGTGCGCTCCCCGGACAGGCGCGGCCAGTACAGCGAAGACGCCAGGCTCCCCACTGTGACCCGAGCCCCCAACAACGCTCAGCCCAACGTGTTCAAGCAAATAAAGAAAGCGCAAGCCTAGAACAGCTGAAACAGGCTTGAAACCAAAGCAGACGAAGTCACTCTGATATGGAAGCCATAGCGACCGAGACAGCGCGACGCTGCAGGACGGACAGACAGCGGGGAGCCCAGAGCCGGCCTACACGGACGCCAAAGGCTCAAAGCCGCTCCATGCAAGAAGTGTGGCCTTTCCAACAAACGGTTCTGGACAACTGGGGTTTTTAAAGACTTCTATTTGCTGACTTGAAAGGCAGAGCTAGAGAGAGAGGAGAGACAGAGCTCCATCTTTCATCCACTGTTTCAACTCCCCACACGGCCACCACAGTCAGGAGCCAGGAAATCCACAGGTGTCCCCCACGTGCTTGGGCCCTGTGCTGCTGCCTCCCCAGGTGCATGGCCAGGGAGCTGGACTGGAAGTGGAGCAGCCAGGACTTGGACTGGCGCTCCTATGCGATGTCGGCCCCGCGAAATCAAACTGCACGAGAAACCACCTAGCCCTCCCATGTTACACAAGATTACGGGACTCCCAGCCAACACACCCAGCACACAAGAACCTACTCCAAGCAGCTCCAGCCTGCGTCCAGCCCCAGTCGCTGGGACATCTGGAGAGGGACTACAGAGGGCAGCACTCTCACACCCTTTCGCTCAAACTGAAAAAGGACTAGCCCAAAACAGATCATGTGAAATCCAAGGTAACTCTTTAAGAAAAAAAAAATAGTCTGTCTTAGACACCTGAGCCTAAGCAAAAAGCTCTAAGACTCAAGACCTAAAGCATGGGCCCGGCGCTGTGGTGCAATAGGTTAATCCTCCGCCTGCGGTGCCGGTATCCCATATGGGCACCAGTTCTAGTCCCAGCTGCTCCTCTTCCAGGCCAGCTCTCTGCTGTGGCCTGGGAGTGCAGTGGAGGATGGCCCAAGTGCTTGGGCCCTGCACCCCATGGGAGACCAGGAGAAGCACCTGGCTCCTGGCTTCGGATTAGGCGCAGTGCGCTGGCCGTAGCAGGCCATTTGGGGAGTGAACCAACGGAAGGAAGACCTTTCTCTCTGTCTTTACTTCTCACTGTCTGTAACTCTACGTCTCAAATAAATAAATAAAATCTTAAAAAAAAGAAAAGGAGATCTAAAGCGTGATTCAAAAGAGCAGAAACAGGCAAGTTGGACGGACCTCTTTGAAATAAAAAACCTTAATTTTGTGAAAAGCCCTGTTTAAAGGATGAAAAGACAAGCCACGGAGTGGGAGAAAATACGTGGAAACCAAGTACTGACGAGGGCCCTAGAACGCAGACCCTCCCGACCTCAGATAAAGAGGCACCTAACCGAACACTGGGTGGAGCCCGAGACGCTCAGGGAGACCCCGCGGGGCCTGCGGGCCACACCGCGGCGAGGGGCCCCCACACGCCCAGCAGAGGGGCGGCAGCCCTGCTCCGTGCTGCTGGTGGACACGGACCGGCCCAGCCACCGGGGTCAGCTGCCGCCAGCACGCCCGGGCATTGCGAGACACACGGACGCCTACACGCGGGTGCAGCCCGTCCAGGACACGGGCAGAGCCCAGAAAACCCCAGACAGCCTGCCTCAGGGGAAGACTTCCACGGTGCCCCGTGGTAAGGCCACGGCATGGACCAGTCCAAAGAGGAAGGGACCACAGTTACACACGACCCCTGGCGGGGTGGGGGCAGCAAGCCGGCGCATCTCAAACAACCGAACCATGGGAGGGCAGGTCAGCCAGGCCAGGCCGGGCCAGGCCGGGGAGAGGGAGACCCGGCGCGATGGGGCTGCGGCGGCCTCCCCGCCCGGGCCAGCCTCAGCGCTGCGGGTTCACAGGAGCTCCCACTGCCGGGCGGCGGGCTCGCCACCGCACAGCCCTCTGCCAGACCTGAACTTGGAGCGCTGCCCCGGTTTCCAAGGCTCTCCTGTCCTCACGGCTGCCCGGGCACTCCCACGCCGCCGAGCACTATGCAAACCAGCGCCCGGGGGCAGGCACAGCACTCTGAAGGCAGCTCGCGACCCCTCCTCTCCCCGCAGGGCCCGGATCTCAGAGCGGCCTTCAAGCGCCCACGGCGACGGCCACTACCAAAAAAACCCACAAGTGTCGGAGGGAAACCGCAGGTGCGGCGCGGCGGGGCGGGCTGGGGAGGAGGGCTCTGGGGTTTAGGCGCTCCGGGCGGACAGGAGGCCGCGTGGGTGAGCCCCGTTTACGAGCGCGCGGGAAAGGCGGAGGCCGGGCTTCCGAAACGGACTCGACACTGCCTCCCGCTCCCGGGCTGGCCGGCCCCGCACCGGTCTGCGCGCCGGCCTGTCGAGTGCGGGGGAGAGGCCGAGGGGGCGCCCGGGCGCGGGCCGGGGTGTCCGGCCGTCCCCGCAGCTCTCGGGCGGGTAGCTCAGAGGCGGCGGGTTGGGGGGTGGGGGGTCCCCGCGGCGACCCCGCGGCCCGGGACGGGAAGGCTGGTGCGCATCCGCACTCCGACAAACAAAACCATGACGCAACCGCCGCCGGGGGAACCGGACGCGGGCTGGGTGCGGGGCGCGCCTGCTTGGAAACCCAGGCCCTAAGTCCGAGGGGCCTCGCCCCGCGCGCGGCCACGCGGGCGTGCGGGACTCGCCGCGGGCGCTGACAGGTCCCCGCGGGGTCCCCGCCCGGCCCGAGCGCGGACAATGGAGGCGGGCCGGCCCCGCGCCCACCTGGGCGCAGGTGTGCTGCGGGGGCGCGCGGCCCCGCGCCCGCCCGGCCGCCCCGCGCGCGTCACCTTGAGGATGTTGTCGAAGATGGTGTCGCGGAACTCGAGCAGCGCCTTCTGGTCGAACTCGCGGCCGTGGATGATGCGCATCTGCTTGAGGAAGGTGGACTTGCCGCTCTCGCCCGCGCCCAGCAGCAGGATCTTGACCAGCCGCCGCACGGCGCGCCGCTCGCGGGCCAGCAGCGCGTCGATGTCGCGGCTGCGCCGCCGGGCCTCGCGCTCCGCGTCGCGCGCGCCGCCCGCCCTGCGCTCGCGGGCCCCGGCCTCGGCCGGCAGCAGGCAGCGGCTGAGGGTCCGCACCACCCCGGACATGGCCCCTCAGGCCGCGGCCGCGCCCCGCCGGCGCCCGGGGGCCATGGACGCACCGCCGGCGAGGGCGAGCCGGGCCGGGCGCCGCCCCACGCCCCGCGGCCCGCGCGGCTGCCCGCCGCTCGCCTCAGGCCGCGTCCGCCGCCGCCGCCGTCGCCGCCGCCGCTTCCAGAGGCCCGCACTCGCCCGGCCGCCGCTCGGGCCCGGCTGCGGGGCGGGGGAGGGGCGCGGCGGGGGCGGGGCGGCGCGCGCGAGGCCCTGCGGATTGGGCCGCCCGCCGTCCATCCGAAGGAGGCCGCTTTCCGATTGGCTGGTCCCGCCTCGGGAGGCGAGCGTTCCTGCGTCCCCGGGGCGGGGTCGGCGCCGCAAGAGGCGGGAGCTTTAGGGTGGGGGCACTTCTCATTGGACAAAGCGGCCCGAGCTTCTTTCTTTCAGAATGAAAGGGAGGTGGGGCCGCCGGGGAGGCGGAGCTGCCGCCCGCCATGGCCAGTTATAATTGCTTTGAGGGCACGTCAATCATGGTGGGTGGGCTTGGGATTGGGGGTTCCGCGGAACGGGGCGTGACCAGAAGTGCCAGGTGTACAGGGTCGCCCGGGGTTCCCAGGTCGGGTCCGCCTGCCAGAGCCGGGAGCTCGCGGAGGGTGCTGGGGCGTTGTCCCGAGGCTGGGAGATGCTCAGGGGTGCGGCCGCTCCAGGGAGAGCGCGGCCCCGGGATCGTCCTCGCAGCCACGCTGGAGGCGGATGGGCCCTGAACTTGTGTCCACTGCCCTTCTGCGAGCTGCCTGGGACTCCCGGGCAGGCTTCTCTGGACGCTGGACATCCGCCAGGGCCGCCAGAGGCTCCCGGAAGAGCCTCGGGTCGTGGTGGCTGGGCCTGCCGCCGGCTTCCAGGGACACTGGGGCGCAAGCTTTATTTATTTAGTTTTTAGTTATTTTTTTTAATTAATAAAAAAAAGTTCTTTGCTGTCCCTAGCTTCAGTTTCCTCGACTGGGAAGTGGGGGTGAAAACAGCAGGAACCTCTAAGGGTCGTGAAGACACCAGCTGAGAACAGGAACTCACGAACGGCTTAGCTAGGTCTCACCTGAACTTATTACAGCTCCTTAAAGGGCCTCGGAGCCACAGAATCAGAACCTTCTGGAAGGTGCAACGGGTATCCCTTAAGATCCCCGGGTGAGCCAGCAGATCTGGGAACCCCACTCCTGTCCAAACCCACCTGCTGTTTTTTAAATTAAGCTTTATTTTTATTTATTTGAAAGAGTTACAGAGAGGAAGAGACACAGAGAGAGAGGGAGGTCTTCCATCTGCAGGTTCACTCCCCCAGTGGCCACGACAGCCAGCACTGGGCCAGTCTGAAGCCAGGAGCCGGGAGCTTCTTCCGGGTCTCCCACATCGGTGCAGGGGCCCAGGCACTTGGCCATCTTCTGCTTTCCCAGGCTCACTAGCAGGGATCTGGGTTGGCAGTGGAGCAGCCGGGACTCGAACTGGTCTCCAAATGGGATGCTGGCGCTGCAGACAGCAGCTTTACCCACGAAGCCACAGTATCGGCCCCTAGGATCTTTTGTGGGAAGCCTTGTTTCTTTGTTAAAAAAAAAAAAGATTTCCGTTTTTCATCACCAGGATTTGCAGTGTTTGTAGCAAAGGACAAACCCACAGTCCTCCGGGATTTCCATCTGAGCGTCAGTCCCGGAACTTAACGCAGGTTTCGGTTCTACAGCAGGAAGCAGGCATTCCTTTGGCCTCGGCTTTGCCGGGAGAAGCCAACGTTCCGACGCTCCGCGAAGCCTGCGTCTTTCCCATCTCTCTTTCTGTCCACCCCGTGCCCCCGTGCACCCCGTGGTCTCAGGATCATCTAGAAAGTGCTTCTGGAATTGAACGGGATTGTTAGAAGCGGAAAGAACGTGGTGACCTCTCGTGACCCTGGCCCAGCCACTGCTCTGTACTCTTGGCTTCGTCGTGGCCTCCTGTTCACAGCTGGGAAGTGGGGTTTGGGGGCCAGGCTGTGGCGTAGCAGGTTACCCCAACATCTGCAGTGCCAGCATCCCATAGGGGCGCCGGTTCAAGTCCCAGCTGCTCCTCTTCCTATCCAGCTCTCTGCTATGCCCTGGGAAAGCAGTAGGAGATGCTTCACGTGTTTGGGCCCCTGTATGCATGTGGGAGACCCTGAGGAAGCTCCTGGCTCCTGGTTCAGGCTGGCCCTAGCTTTGCCATGGCCCTGCAGCCATTTGAGGAGTAACCCGCGGATAGGAGATTCTGTCTCCCTCTCTCTCCGTAATTCTCACTTTCAAATAAATAAATTTTTTTTTTTTTAAGGAAGGCAAACAGTAGCATTGTGAGGGAAGTAAACAGAAAGTAAGTAAAGCCCGAGAAAGCAGTGTTTGTAAGATGGAGAAGGGAATTTTGAACCAATAAAGAAGGGACTGTGGAATTCAGACAAGGGATTATTCCTCATTAAGAAAAACATTGAGAAGAGGGGGTCCACAAAACAGCGTCAGCGAGCGCTCCAGGCAGTGTTTACAAATAACCTTCCGTCTTTATGCCTGTGTTTGTACAATCAGCGAGTGTCATAAAGGGCCGCGTACGTTTGTCGGAGATAAGTTCCGGCGCTCCGTGGGGAAAGCACAGGCAGTTGGCAGTATCGGGTGTCGGGACGTGACGCGGTCCTGGCTGCCCCCTGCCCATTCCTCAAGGCGCTGAAGGGCTCAGTCACCCTCACGCCCGTGAAGTGTGTTGCGATTTTTACAGAGCTGCCTCATGCATTTTCCCATCTGTCTGTCTGCACCCCTGGGAGGGGAGCAGGGCAGATGGTGAGAGAAGACTGAGTGCCCAGCACTGCCCGGCGGTGGACCCGGGACAGGGACTGCGGGCTCTCGGGGGAGCCGGGAGCGCGGGAGAGCGGGGAAGCTCGGCCCCACCGAGTCGC